TTTTACGCAAAAGCAAATCTTTTGCGCAAAGGCACATGCCAGTATAGACACTCTCTTGCGCAAATACTTTTAACGGAAAAACTTTTCCGTTAAAAGTATTTGCGCAAAACCATGCCAGTCTAGACGCAGCCTGGGATTCCGTAAAGTGAAAATAAGGGTTCTGCGAGAAAACTCCTTGACAATAACATTTTATGATTAAAAATAATATTTAAGAACTGACGAATTTTATTGAAAACAATTTTCATTTGTGCCAAGATAAGTGTCCCTGTGTAATGCCAGCTAAGCCAGAGAGTGGGGATAATGATGTCACTACTCAGAGCTATGCTCACAGTCAGTCAGCGGTGCAATTGCCTGTTATATATCATACTGCTACTTAAATCAAGGACAGTCTCTTGCTGTTTTAATGCAATGCCTAGTGCAGTGAAGCTTTCAGCTCAGTTGCATCTTTTTGGTGCTATTGCAACCATGTAGTAACATCATCAACAGTCCAGTGCAAAAGCGGCGAGGAGTCCTGTGGCACCTTAGAGACTAACTGAAGTGTAGGAGCATGAGCTTTCGTGGGCAAAGACCCACTTCGTCAGAGGCATGCATCCGACACTTCAGTTAGTCTATAAGGTGCCACAGGACTCCTCGCCACTTTTGCAGATTCAGACTAACACGGCTCCCCCTCTGATACTGGAGTCCAGTGCAATGAGTCAGTTTGTGATTCATGGTGGGACTCTGAAGAGACATGGTGGAGTCTAAACTCTAATGAAGGTTGGTTTAGATTTGTGTGCAGTGTCCTATTTACTGTTGAAACAAAAAACAGGACCATGTAGCACTTTAAAGACTAACAAGATGGTTTATTAGATGATGAGCTTTCGTGGGCCAGACCCACTTCCTCAGATCAAATAGTGGAAGAAAATTTTGCTTCAGCTACACCAGCCTAACGCGGCTACATTTCTATAACTGTTATTAGGGGTTCTGCAAAATTCTTTTGAGTTTAAAAGGGTTCGGTGACCAAATAAAATTAAGCAACTGCTATAAACAAACCCGAAACCCACTGAAAACAGCTTTTAAAAAACCTAAGCCAGTAATAATGTTAGGATACGGAATTCATGTTTTCAAAAAGTTTGTGTTCGCCCCACAGCTGAATGCTTCTAGATCGGTGAAAACAAAAGCAGCGAGCTCAGGGCATGTTCGCTGGGAGCCGAAGCCCGGAGGCAGGGCGAGGTGTGTCTGGGTAGCTGGTGGGCGCGGTCACCCTTCGCAGCAGGGAGACGGAGCAGGCACCCACAAGCCCCTGCCGAGGGAGCTGCCAGAGCGCGACCCCCAGCTCCCGCACGGGGGCGGCAGGCTGCTCCCAGCCCGCCCCGACCAGCCCCCCTGCAGGCCGCAGGCTCAATCCCCCTCAGCCCCTGCAATCGGCGCTTACCGCCGCCCGCGGGACTCACCGTGAGGAGCAGCAGCGCCTCCAGCCCGCCCGCCGCCGGGCCCCGCGCCATAGCCCGGCCCGCTCCGTGTCCTCAGCAGCAGCCGAGAGTGTCCGCGTCGGGCTCCTTCCGCGGCCGCTCGGCGAGCAATGGGGCCGCCCGGAGGGGCTGGGGAGGAGTGCGCCGCGCGGGGCCGGCCTGACACTGGCACACCTGGGGGAGGGGGCAGGTGAATCCCGCCTTCCTCTGAGGCGGGGGGGCCCCAGCGCTTCCGCCCTGCACGAAGGGGAAGGGCTGCAGGGCGCGGGCGGTCCAGCCTCTCGCCCTGGCTGGGGGCTGGACCCTTAGCAGCAGCGCGTCCCCTTCCCGGCGCTGCCATTGCGGGAGCGGAGCCTGGGGGAAGTTCCTCCGACTCCTGCCCAGCTCCGGGCAGACACAAAGCGGGGTAGGAGCTGGGGAGAGAGGAGACGAGCTCCACGCTGCAGGTGTTGGGCACGAACTTTGCAGTCAGGGCCGCGTTATGACTTTCGTGGGCCCCTCCCACCATAATCATATCATTATTAAAAATGATTTTTGCTATAACTTTAAATACTTCAACATTTTTTTCTGCCTTAGGCAAAATTGAATAGATTTTCGTGGGCCCTAAACGTTTCATTTTTTTTCTGATGTGAGAACAAAATTAAAACATTTGCTTCCACCCTAAAAGTTCATTTTTTTTCTTCTGATTGTAAAAAAAATTAAAACATTTTCATGGACCCTAAAAGTATCGTGGGCCCTAGGCACTGTGCCTAAGGGATAAGTCGGCCATATTTGCAGTCGCCGCCCAGTCCCTGCAGCTCGCCACAGGCTGCGATCTGAAGGACTGCGATGGTTTGTGCCAGCGCACGAGGGGTGGCTGCATACCTGGAAGGGCCTGCTGGGCCAGCAGATCCCAGCGCACCCCCTCCACTGCCGAGTTCGTGCAAGGGAGCAGCCCTGGCCACTGACCGACTCTGTGCCTTCACCACCAGCTGTGGCTCCATTCCTTCTTACAGGGGCCGCTTACGGGGATCAGGGGTTGTTGATCCTCTAAGTCTGGTGGCTCTTTGAAGTTTCTAAGGTGAGAACTTTTAATTTTTTTTTTTAATGTTACAACTATTTTTATCTCAGTTAGGATCCGGGGGAAACGCCATTGTGAGTGCTGAGTTTGAATAATAAAACTGGCGATATTACCTGTTGTGTCTTTTGATCTTTGCTATAAAGTATCTGCTTCTCACAGGACAGGTTTTTGCCCACCCCTTGCAGGGTATTTCCCACATCTGATCAACAGTCATGTTTTTCTTTCTGAGCGGGTTTTAGATGAAGATCTGAGTTTAGAAGGATTTCAAATATAGGGAGCGCTCTTTCCATTTTCCCCTTCTCACCATACAAAAGAACACTACAAGTCATAGCAAGTAGGTGTGCTTTACAAGCTGACAATCCTGTTACAAAGGGGCAGCCTTCATTAATGAGTAACTTACAGGAAAAAACATGGACTCATGGGAAAGTAAAAAGAATTGCTCAAACAAAACCTGCAGTGTTGATACTCCTAATCTGTGTTCCGTGGTCTGAATGCACTTTTTTTTGTATCCATTTCTGATACTGCTCTCTGCTCACCACCTGTTTAACACTGACCAGTCCAGACACTAATTATATGGGGGCAGGCGGGTGTGTGTGTGGGAAATTAAGGTTAGTGTGCATCTTACTTTTACAGGGAATGGAACACCTATATGCTAATAGATGCTGATTAATTAGGGTTGATCAGGTCAGATTCAGCTATGGTAAATCTTTTCACATAATTTCTGAAGCAATCAACTGTAAATATCATGAACAGAATTAGGACCCTTTCAGAGGAGTAGTTAATGGGGAGCCTTTTGTGTTATACATGTAGTATCTCATAGCTATGTGAAACAGCTGCACTTATACACAGTGGTAAACTGAGGACACAGAATATGCATTGTCTCAGAATGTCTTCGCTTTTGTTGATTTAGGATACAGTGATATAGAAGCTTCTCTTGCCTTTTTATGCACATCATATTGTTACTTAGAAAAAAATCAGTGATACTACATGTCCAAGTATAGTGATTACAGTGTTATATTCCTAGTTCAACCACTGAGTAACAGTCTCACTGGTCAATAAACGTAATTTTTGTGTAACGAAGTATAGCTACATGTGAATTGGTGTATTAATGCTTTTGTTCCTCACAAACAGGGTTTGAGGCTTAATACCTAATATAAGTAAAGTGCTGACATCCTATTTTGAAGTTTTGTAATCCCAATAAAATTATTATTATTTTAAAGTGTACAGTGGAGAACAGGATCAAAGCCTTTAATATGATCTGTATACAATATTTTTAATTGGGTGAGCTACAAGATTCAAAGATCTGCATGTATTATGACTGACGATTTAAAGAGCTCTAGCATAATTACAATATAAATGAAAGTGTTTCATTATTTCAAGGATCTGTAAGGGAAGTTTGCTCATTTGCTGGATGATGGTGATTTTTATATGTGTGCTCTGTAATGTAGCCAAGTGGAACTTTGATCAAATTGCTAATTATTTGTTAGAGCCATTTGTTAAAAAGTATGTTGATTAGTGAAATAAATTTTTACAACTAAGTTAAAATAAAGCTAAACCTCATTTTGATTTAAAATCAATTAAAAATAATAGGCCCGTGTATATTACTGAGGCCCCAATCCTGCAAACACTTGTAACTAAAGTTACATGCTTGCCTATCTCATTGACTTCAATGCAAAAGCATTTGTTGTAGCAGGGCCAAATGCAGGAATAGTGAGATAGCAGGGAGCAGAAGTGTTCCCCCAGAACACAGCCAAAGAAAGATCAACCATTGAGTATGCAGAAGCTCTGCTCTCAGAACATCCCTTTGCTGAATCTGCTCTTGTGATGCTTATAACATTCACATGGGTAGTCAAAGCTTCTGCAAATAATTGCAGTTGCCACTAATGCAGAGCTTCCTGATTTCATATAATGTTTATAGCACTCGTCGACATACTACATGTTTGTATGAATTTGACTGTGCAACAGCTTCTTTTTAAGATGGGGAAATATTATCCCTATTGTATGGAGGTGCCTTGCTGAAGTTGACACAGTACTGGCAGATCCAGGAGCTGACTCCACATTTGTTTCCAGCCTTATTTACCACGTGACCATCCACTCAGTTACATGGATCCATGCTGTAAACTAGCCCTTTCAGCTTTCCTTATTGATCTTTGACACGAGACACTTTCATTTATATTCTAATGATGTGGGGGCTCTTAAACTGTCAATCATAATATATCCAGGGCTTTGAATCTAGTTTTCCTCACCCAGTTAAAACTACAGATACTATTATGGGCTTCAGTCCTGTTCTCCAAAGTATGGCATGCATCATTGGTCACCCTAAAATTATAATTTTCTCTTATATTGCTTCTTTATTCAAGAATCACCAATGTTTTAAACAGATCGCAGCACTTTACTAACATTAGCACTGCAAATGGAAACTACAATTATGGCCCAGGAAATCCATTTATACATGACAAAGGTAAACTATACAAAGATACAGGTGCTTGTACGAGAAAGAACAGAAGGATACAGGTACAAAGTTCAAACATGATGAAAAGCAATGCGGAAATAGGTCCAAACTCTCAGGCTGAGGTTTTGTTTGTTTGTTTGTTTTGGGCATAATATCCTGGTCATTATTGAAAACTACAAATGACCAAGCCCCATTCACAGCCCATGAAAGATTTAGTGTAAGTCTTTCCAATTATAGCAGAATTGCAGGATAACAAACACCAAAATTACAAACACATCAATGAAGCACACACCTTATTTGGAACCAGAAACATTGAATCAGGCAGCAGCTAAGACCAAAAAAACAAAATAAAAAAACCGCACACCAAACAAACAAAAAATACTCAACCACCCAAGAACAAACAAACAAACAGTCAAGTACTGTGCTGCTAAAACAAAAACTACTGAAAAGATAAAGGGAAAGTTAAAGATACAAGGTAAGAAAACAATTTAAATAAAACAAGCACAGAAATAAAGATAGTTAAAAGCATGTTTTATCTGTATAGTAATGTTTCAAAGCTACATTAAATCAATGTTCAGTTGTAAACTTTTTAAAAGAATAGCCACAATTTTGTCCGGGATTATGAACATTTCAGAAGTTAAAAGCAACTTCCTTTCCTAAGGTATTCATAACTGAGCTTCTACTGAACTTCAAGGAGCATAAGATCAGGCCCTAAACTGTTATTCTTTTCTAAAAGTTTAAACATCTATATAATTTTCCTCAAAGTTTTAACAAAAACATAATTTCATAAAAATATACATTTGTACTAATTCACAGTATTATTTATTATGAGCATACTTGTGTGCTTCCAGTAGATACATTCTCATATGATCACTCATAAATGCCACTCCCATTTCATGGTGAGTAAAGCTACGCTAACAACTCTAGCTGAAATTCAAATAGGATTCATTTCTTTTTGGTGAAGAAGAGGGCGAGGAGATAAATTAAAATATCCAGCCTTAAGGAACAACCCAGTTCCTTATTAAATTAATGACAAATCTATTGTAATGCCTTTAAAGTGTTGAAACCAAAGACAAACTATCTGGTTTTTTTTCTAGCTTTTGAATTAAACGGAACAGGTACAGTGTTAAACAAGTGCTGCTACAAGAGGAAATTCAGAGTATAGCTGTGATGAAATGCTCTGAGCTCTTTGTGTGTCATATTAAGGTAACTGAGAATGTTTTTCATTGTCTTAAAAATCACACTTCACCCTATTCCACTGTTTTAAAATTCTTACCACACCATTTTTATGACTATTGTCAATAATCTGTCCAAAAATTATTTGCAATTAAAGGGCATTGACCAGATTTCACAGTTGCACAAGAATCCACTTCCAACTACCACTAATTTTAACACCTTTTGTGCTTAAGCAGTCTATCTCTGTGGTTCAAATTCCCCACCTGTAAAATGGGATAATAATACTGATCTCCTTTGAGATCTACTGATGAAAATGTTATCTAAGGTCTATGTATACAATTATCAGTTTTAAGGTGCCTAATTGATACAGAGGATTAGAAGAAAAGCTCTCTTCATATTAAGGGCATGATCCATTAAACAAGTTTAACTTTATAAAGGGAATAACTCCATTCATTACAAAGCTATGCCTGGACTTCAGTGCTTACAAGTCTGGGGCTCATGGGAGAATATTGGAGAAATAGAAAGTATGGACAAGGAAGAATGGTTCACTGTCATTACTTGCTACTACATACATGGTAGTTGGACACATAAATGCTTCTGATTTTTCTATGCTCATAAACAGTATTTGATCCTTTTTATCTCTCTTCTGTTCATCTCTTTTTAATAAATTTAAGATGTTTATTTCTCTTTAAATGACTGGAATGATTTGCTTCCTCCTCCTGTTCTACCTCTTTTCAAACTCAATCTCTTTTTTTCCCCCTCCCACTTATCTTTCTTCCCATCCCTATTCTATGTTCTCTGTCCTAATTATTAGTATCAGAGGGGTAGCCGTGTTCGTCTGAATCTGCAAGAAAAATGAGAAGTTCTGTGGCACCTTATAGACTAACAGATTTATTGGAGCATAAGCTTTCGTGGGCAAAGACCCACTTCATCAGATGTCGAAGTGGGTCTTTGACCATGAAAGCTTATGCTCCAATAAATCTGTTTGTCTATAAGGTGCTGCAGGACTTCTTGTTCTAATTGTGTATTTCCCTATCCTTTTCTCTTTCACCCTTGTATTTTGTGGTACCAGTGGCTAGACTGAAGTAGCTAGATATCATCTGCTGTGCTATACTTTGATCCTTTTTCTTCAGTGATCATGGCAGGCTGCAGGGGAGCATGATGCTGATGATTGTAGAAAATGTTACCTCCAATTCAGGGCGAAGCTGTAGGGCGATACTACAGGGTAGGCTGCCAAATACAGAACTTTCAAGGCACGATCCAAAGCTCACTGAAAACACAGGAAATAGTCCCACAGACTTCAATGAATTTTGAATCAGACTTTGGGCAGCATGGATATAGGAAAGGCAAGATGCAGTCCCCCTACAGGAGT